TCCTCATGCATAGCACAAGGAACTATATTCTGTCTCCTGGGATAAGTCATAATGGAAAAGAATATTAAACAGAACACATGTATAACTGAGTCACTTTGGCTGCACAGCAGAAATCAGCACAACACTGTAGATCAACCATACTTCAATTTTTTTAAAAAAACAAATAATGTGTCAGGTGGCTAGTAAGTGCGATGATCAAAATGAAATAACAAATAGACTGTGACACTGAGTTACAGAATTCTTACAGCCACCATGTAAGTTGGCATTAGCCTCATTTTACATTTGAATAAACCAAAGCACAGGGAAAAGAGAAACACAATGAAATATCACCTCACACCTGTCAGAAGAGGTTTCATCAAAAAGACAAGAAATCACAAGTGCTGACAACAGTGTGGAGAAAAGGGAACCCTTGTGCATGGTTAATGCAAATATAAACTGGTGCAGCCACCATGGAAAACAGTACAGAGGTGACTCAAAAATTAAAAATAAGACCATCACCAAAAAAGAAAAAAGAAAAACCACCATACAACTGGGCAATTTCACTTCCGGGTACTGATCCAAAGAAAATAAAAACACTAATTCAAAAAGATGTGTGCACTCCTATGTTCACTGCAGTATTTATAATAGCCAAGGTATGGAGGCCACCTAAGAGTCCACAGGTAGATGAATGGATAAAGCTGTGGTATACAGACACACACACACACACACATAATGGAATATTACTCAGCCATAAGTGAATGAAATCTTGCCATCTACAACAACAATGATGGACCTTGAAGGTATCACCATAAGTGAAAAAAATCAGATAAAGACAAGTATCAATACCATATGATATCTCTTAGATGTGGATCTAAGAAACAAAACAAACAAAAAACCAGACGGATACAGGGAACAGATCGGTGGTTGCCAGAAAATGGGGGCAGGGGTTGGAGGGTGGGCAACATGGGTTGGGGGGTGACCAAGAGGTACAAAACATTCAGTTAAGAAGTGAACAGACCGCCTACCTATGCCATGGATCCAATGTATGCCAATGTAGAACATAGTCAATAATACTGTATTAACTCTGTATGGCAACAAATGGTAACTATACTTTTTGTTGTGATCACAGTTTGTAAGGTATATAGACACTGAATCTCTATGTTGTACATCTGAAACTAGCATGTCAATTATACATCAATTAAAAAAAAGAGTGATTTATCAGCTGCTCGCTGGCCACCTGCACATATTTAAAACTAAATATCAACTCTCACCCCCTGCACCTCACACTCCAGCCGTGCTAAAGCCTCTGAGTCCGAGGTCATACTATTTATTCATCCTGATGCCTCCGCACAGTTTCCTGTCTGAAATTTTTTCCTCCACTCAGATCTCTCTACTTTGTAACTGGCTAAATCCTATCCAGGTTTCAACTTAGCACAGATGTACCTCCAGCAGCAGATCTTCCCAAACAGTCCTGTGTCCACTGTGAGTAAGGATATTTGCTTTAAATACTTAAAACAGCCACTGCATCCTCTAACCACAACACATCTTCCATCTCATACTGTCTGATTTGCCTTTAGGCTGGACTTCCTTAAGAGTAACTTTTAATCCTTCTAATCCTATATCACCAGCTACTTTACAGTGCTTAACATAATAGATGCTAAATAATCAGTAAATGAGTGTATGTGATAAATATTCTCCAAGAAATTTTTCCATGTACAACCAACCAAATACATGGGAGCAGAATGTGACAAGCAAAAATGTGCAAAGTCGGGCGGGAGTCAGTAAGTCCGGAGTAGAGAGAACTCCATGTAGCAGGCAGGAGGGAAGTCCATTATGCACAAGCCCTTCAGTTAATTCATCTTCCCGACTGACCCACTCGGCCCCTTCACCTCCAGTTCCCTTGGACTCCTGTAGCACTATGAGCTACCAGCTATAGGTGAGCCGAGACATCTATTACACATGTACATGTTACATATGTACATGCGCTTTTCATGTATGCCTTTGGAGACGCTCCATTTCATTAGCCAAGTGTCCACCCCATTAGCCAAAGCAAGGCTCTCCCCGGGCAGAAGAGATGTCTCAAATGCACTTGGTTCTGCCAGGAGTCTAGCAGTGACCCTTTGAGAGAATGCCTAATTCCAGGCTTCTGGCTCCCAGCTATGTGCACCTCACACCCCAGTCCCTCGGGGTCTCAGTCTGGACAAGGGGCAATTACCGATCCGGAAGTGGTCATCGATGTTTCCCACAAACACAGCTTCATAGTCCTCAGGCCTCTTCAGGTTGGGTGGTCTCTCCTCGGGATCGGAACCGTACTCTCCATTAAACCTCTTCTTGTTGCTGACAATGATTTTCTTCTTGCTGTCGCCCTCCAGGAGGCTGATGAAGAGCTGCACCACCCGCAAAGCAGCTTCCCGGAACGGCACCACGACCAGCACCTGTTGATGGAGAGGTGGGCAGCCTTGGAGGCAAGCGGAAGGAAGGGCAGCTCGAGGTGAGCCCGAAGCGGACCTGGAGCTAACGAGTCCCCTGATCCGCAGCCCCGGGCCAGGGACGCCCTGGCTCTGTACTGCAGGCTGAGTATCTTTCAGACCCACAGCACCGCGTCCTATGGACTTCAATCTCATGGCCCCTTGGGGGACATTCTTAAGCAAAATGTGGGAATACCTTTTAGGGTAACTCTATGCCTTTAACAGCGGTATCCACCAGCAAAAGCCCAAGGACATAAACAGACAAAGCTCTCTGAGGACAAGAAATGTTACTCATTTCTGTCTCCTACAGAACTCGAGTGTTCAGCATAGTGATTTCATGTATTTCATCGTGATTTCAGCCAAGGAATATGCTGAATCAATGAATCAGATGTATTAGCAGAGAACAAATTAAGCTAGTAAGGACCAAACTATCATTACTTCTCTAGTACATTTCCTGGTACACTTTTCAGAAATGATGATAAAGTATTTCTGAAATAAGATCATATTTCAATGGGAAATATAGGAATCAGTTTTCCTAACATTTCTAAAAATGCTTAGTATTAACTGTTGAGAAAAAAAAAAACACCAGAAGATGCTTAACAAATAATTTCTAACCACCCTTATGTACATGGGTTTTTTTCTAACTACACTTGGCTAAGGCTTCCCTGGTGATTCAATGGTAAAGAATCCGCCTGCAATATAGGAGTTATGGGTTCAATCCCTGACTTGGGAAGATCCCTTGGCGGAGGGAATGGCAACCCACCACAGTATTCTTGCCTGGGGAATCCCATGGACAGAGGAGCCTGGCAGACTATAGTCCAAGGGGACCCAAAAGAGTTAGACACGACTTAGTGACTAAACAACTCAACCCTTGTGTAAACAATACAATCAGTGGAAATAACCCCAGTCAGATCAGGCAATTCACCAAATTCTAAACTGTTCCAATTGGGTGTTCTACCTCATACCCTGTTTTGCAGTTCTAAATGGAAACAGATAATCGTTCTATCCTGATGTTCAAGATTCTGAGGTGGTTTCCCAGAAGGGCATCCGGCACAGCCAGAGGGGCGCAGTGACTCAGCTTGGTACAGCGTGGGGATGACGGATCACTTTTGAAGAGGGCCAAGTTACTGCCCTGCTGGGACACTAAGTAAGTCTAGTGGTTTCCCCCAGCTATCGAACAAGAGGGCTGGACTAAGAAATCTCCTAAGAGCCGCATCATCCCATTAAGAATCCTATTAAGCTCAATGAGAAGGATCTAAGAAGATGAGGCCTCTTCAATACAGAGACAAGGGTGAAGGGGTGGGGGAAATGGGAGGTACAGTGTCTAGCTACACGACATCATGAAAAATGCAGCAAGTCAGAAGACATGTTCTATGTGAGCCCTCCAACCACTGGCACTTATGCCTACGAGCCCACACACATGTAATCATCACTTTAAGCTGCAATCATGATACAATGGGAAAACAGGGGTTTTGCTTTCCAAGGTTTACATACGTACGTGGCTTAGTGAAGAGAAGCCTGTCTGTGCTACTGTCTCCCTGGTTCTCTTTGACAGGCCCTTTATGAATCTAGGTCTGTGTCCACAGAGGTAATATGCAGGGATCAAATAAAAAGTTCTCTAAGGACCCACCCAGCTCTGACAGTCACAAAGAAGAGATGTACAGTGGAGTGCTACTTATGCAGAGGATCAGGGTTTATCTCTAAGGAGAATTATCATGGAGGTACCTCCTACTCACGTTTTCAGGTAGAGCCACCGTTAGAGCCAGCCCACTGAGCCGTCTGCAGCACCACTCTAACATCGCCCAGCAAACACGCTCAGGCCTGGACTTATTCTGTGCTCCGATCATTAAAACCTCTGAGAACCTGCTCAGTGCCAGGGCCTACACGGCAGGGCCTCCCAGCCTCCTTGAGGGCAAAGTTCTGCCGCCACTCACCTTGGGCCTGGTCAGCCCTTGGTCCCTGAAGTCGTCATCGTCACCCACCCCGAGTTTCTGGCTTCGGCGTCTGCTGTTGTTGCCAAGCACCTGTGCGTTGGCTTTGAGGACGTGATTTATTATGTGCAGGCAGTACACGTGGCGGATCTCTTCCCCATTCTTCAGGGCAGTCCTTTCCGGGTAGAACAGGTCCCGGTAAGAATTCATAATTAAGAAGAGCTCTTTCTGGAGAGGTGTGAAGGGGCTACTTGATTTTTGGGGACCAGAGAGGAACTGGCTGTTGGTCTTGATCCAGGTAGATTCCAGGGGCTTTTGAAGATGAACTGACTTTAAGTCAATGTCCTTTGGGGGTTTAAACGTTTCCAACTTCTGAAACTTGGATGAAAAGACAACCTGGCCCAGGACAGGCCACTGAGGGAGAAAGAATCAAGAAGTCAGAAATGAATGACAGTACCTTACATTCATCCGGTACTTCATAACTTACAGAGGCCTCTGATGACTTATAGATTCTCTCACTTAATCCTCACAACCACCATGCAAGGTAAACACTATAATGCTCTTCTTTCAGTTCAGGAAATGTGGAGATTCAGAGGTTATACAATTCAAACAGAAGAGAACAGAGCTAAGGGTCAGAGCCCAAGGTTTCTGACTTTAGAAAACTTGTAAGCTCTTCAGTCAATCAGTGGGTCACAGACTGTGCTGTGGACCACACTACAGGAAGTCAACATTTATTCTAGACAAAAAAAGGACTCAATGGTCAAGTGACTTTGATAAACACTACAAAACCTAATCCCCCTCAGGGAGAGTCACAGCAGAATAGATATGAAGGTTCTGCTGAGTCCCGTGACAAGGACTCTGTTCCCCTTTGTTTAACCCAGAGTTTTCCAAATTTGCCTGGGCATGGAGCAAGGTTTTTTTTTTTTGAACGAGGTTTTTGTTGGGATTTTTTTTTGGGGGGGTGGAAGGGATGCTTGCACTCTAATGAAACTGCTGATCTTAGCAATAAAGGATGACCTCTGCAATAAAAAAGAATTAACTACTAAAGATTTGCCAGCAAGTAGGATGAATTTCCAGGGAACTATCCTAAGTGAAAAAAGCCAACTTGTATGATTGTATTTATAGAACACTTTTCAGATAACAAGATGACATAAATGGAGAACAGATGAGTGGTTATTACCAAGGGTTAGGAAAGGGGGGAAGGAGGTGGGTGCAGTCATAAAACAGCACCAGAGAAGAGGAGGGATCTTCACAGAGCTGGAAATGCTCTGTATGTTGGCTGTGGTAGCGGAAATGGGAACCTACACATGTGATAAAACAGTGCAGAACTAAGTAACACACACAAATCAACAGGAGCAAAACCAAGGAAACCTGAATAAGACAAGGAGATTGGATCAATGGAAATTTCCTAACTGCGATACTGTACTATAGTTTTGCAGAATGTTACCACTGGGGTAAACTAGGCAAAGAGTATATGGGTATCTTTGCACTGTTTCTTACAACTGCATCTGTAAGAACTATCTCAATAAAAATTTCAACGAACACAGAGCCTGGCAGGCTACAGTCCACGGGGTTGTGAAGAGTCGGACGTGGCTGAGCGAGTGAGCACACACACAGGCTCTTCCAGCCTTCCTATGTCCCACTCCCCACCAAGTCATCTGCCACCGGTGTGTATCACACATTTAGGGAGACCACTAGAGGCCAAGATCACTGCTTTTCTCCATTTGTGACTGTGATGATGGAACAATGCTTACTTTTAGCTGTTCGGTAGTTTTGGGATTTGTGGCAACAGCCTGGATTTCTTTTTCTTTCAATTTTGTGTTCACATGTTGTACAAATGGATCTAATTCAGAAATAAAGAAGATTAGAACAGTTAGAGCAAATGACAGAGATTTTTTAGTCTTCCCTTTTAATGATATGGTGTTCTTCATGATGTTAACTCACCTTTTTTCCCCATCTACTTCCCCCATCATTTATTCCAGTCCAGAGCTTAAAAGTTTCTGACACGTTCATTTCCCTAAAGTGTTTCTTTAACCACATTATTTCCAAGCTCAAAAACCTTTGAAGAAACTTCTCTGTCTTAAATTCAACATACACCTCTAACCTACTTCTCCAACCCAAGTTTTCAATGACATGGCTCTCAAATGCTTCTGTCACTGAGGTTTTCCTTTCTTTAATTGAAAATTCTATCCTCTCCTTCACCTCATTTTTGTACATCCAAACAGGATCAGTTGAGTGTTACCCCTGACTCATAGTAAACAACTAGTTCCCAGGCATGGGGCTGGCTCCACTAACAGGCTGCCTCTGGTCCCCTACAAGGAGTCATCACCCTCAAGTCCCCCACCATCCACCCCAACACACATGTGCGCATGTCCTACCTCATCTAATTAGACCTCAAGATCCCTGAGGGCAGGTTTCATGTCTGATTTAACTTGCACCGAAGACATCTATACATGCTCAACACTCAACCGAGGTGAACAAAGGCTCAAACGGTGCCACCTGCACTCAGGGTCACCCTCAGTGCTCTGTGCTGGCAGCCAGCCTTCTCATTTCAGAAGCAAAGTTCAACGACCTGTTCAGGAACCAGGCAGGAAAACCTCAAAAGCAATGCACCTGACAACACCACCTAAGATAAGGGTGAACAGTAGGAAATAAGAATTCAAGGTGCTAATATATTTGTACGGGCAAAACCACCAGAGAAACTTTATGATAGTTAAGCTTCCTTACGAAACATAAGGGTTTTTTTAAGTTCAGAATGGCGTTCGAGCCTAAATTCTACCTGCTACTTCTCCCTCTTCTCCAGAAGAGCTAAGAGAACCAAATGAGGATTAAAATTTCAACTTCAGTGGTAGACCTGGTTGAAGAATGGCACTGGGACCAAAAGAGGCAGTCAGGACACGGGACTGAGACCAGCCCGACTTGCCCATCCAGGCGCATGCAGACACACGGAACCCGAGAGACGGCAGAGACCCGCCTTAGCCATCCACAGGCAGGCCTTGTCCAAGAGACGGAGAGAGACTGGGGAAGAGGCGGAGCGCTCTGGCTTCCGCGGTGCTCCCTGGTAGTAACGACCAATTAGATCGGCCACTTCCGGGTCTCACCTGTAAAACTGCTGCTTACAGGGATTGAGAAGCCACAGGTAGAGAGGAAAATGCAAAGTACTATTCTCCTCCTTCTCTGCTTGGGGAAAAGAAATCAGAGGTCTCCCCTGACCCCAATTGTGGGAACGTCAGGTCTGGGGAACTGGTCTTCCCTGCTGTCATTCTTCAACTGTTTTTTCTCCTGAACAGCCCCTGACTCCCAACACGGCCCAAGCCCTGAAAAATACAAAATACCCTGGAGAAACATTTCTTCCCAGCTCTATATCTAGCGGCTAAACTATGTTTTTATCACTGCCCATTCCAGTATCAGGAGATTTAACAAGCACTAGCCCCTACCTAGCACCAGGTGACCAGAGAAGGCAATGGCACCCCACTCCAGTACTCTTGCCTGGAAAATCTCATGGACGGAGGAGCCTGGTAGGCTGCAGTCCATGGGGTCGCTAAGAGTTGGACACGGCTGAGCAACTTCACTTTCACTTCTCACTTTCATGCATTGGAGAAGGAAATGGCAACCCACTCCAGTGTTCTTGCCTGGAGAATCCCAGGGACGGGGGAGCCTGGTGGGCTGCCGTCTATGGGGTCGCACAGAGTTGGACACGACTGAAGTGACTTAGCAGCAGCACCAGGTGAATTCAAACAATGTGCACCAGGCTCTGACCTTGTGATGCTTTCGGAGAAGAGTCACTGCCACTTTCCTCTTCGAGAAAATTGGTCTCTAGGCTGAAGAGTGACTCATGCTTTGTGTCTGTAAACTCCTCGGGGGGCTCCTCTGATGGGCCTGGTGGCCTGTGCCCATCTTTTCCCTCAGGGTCAGCAGCTGAGGCCACACCTACAATTTTGGGAAACATTTTATAAAATTATTTACTGCTCTTGAATACAATTACACTTCTGTTGACAAATGAAATTTAATTCCTCAGCCTATATTGACACTGACACTCACTGCTATCATTTACCTTTAAGCCAATTCAAGTTGGAAGACAGAAGTTTTAAAAGTATGCTGGACTGTTAACCCAGTACATGCGAGGATGTTCAAAGCAACATGGATTATAACAAATAACTGGAAAAATGATTTCATCATTTCTACTGATGGGGTACTAATTAAATTACCACACAGTATGTACAATGGAATACTCCATGATTAAGCTAATGTGAATCCACAGTTACAAACATTATATTATTAATGAAGAAAAGGACGCTATAGGAATATATGAGACCATTCTACACATACTCACAAATAAATGTATAGACTCGTATTCACTCATATATCCATAAAAAAAGTAGTCTGGAAGGTTATATACAATATTAAAGGTGTTCATCTCAGGGTGGTGCAATTATAGGTTAACTATATTACCCTCTTAAACTTTTACAGTAAATATATATATTACTTTTACAATTAAAAATACTTTTCATCTTTAAAAACCCAAAACATGAAAGAAAACTGAAAAACCAACAAAATTAAACAAGAAATCCCTAAGTCTAAGGCAATGATTTATTTATCCCAGTACAAATGATGAATTAAAATACTAAGACTGGTGTGTGACACCTTAAAGTATAGAAAACAATAGTCAGGCAAATACGTACTAAGATAATAGGGTATAAAAAGCTACCCAGACATATTCAGACAATGGACTACTACTCCAGCAACAAGAAAAAATGAATTACTAATATGAACTACACGGATGAGTCACAAAAACAGGAGAAGCCAAAGAAGCCAGACACAAAAGGGTACTTATGGTATGCTCTCACTCATAAGAATTTCTAGAACAGACAAAGCTAATATATAGTGAAAGAAAGCTGGTCAGTGGTTGCCTGATGCCAGGCCTGGGAAGCTGACTGCAAAATTTTTGTAGGTATTGGAAACGTTCTGTATCTTGATTTTGGTGGTGGTAATACAGACATACACATTTGTCGAAACTTACTGAATTACATACTTGAAATGAGTATATTTTATTGTATGTAAATCATACCTCAATAAACTTGATTTTAAAGTTAAATTAAAAAGTCACCTAGATGTCCAAGTGAGGCAGAGTCCCTTTAGGTTTTCAATCCCAGCTCTTCTCTGAAGCCTTCCCTCATTTACCCTGGCAGCATGTGACCACTCTGCATCTCTTCATCACCTTATATCTATCTGTTCCATCCAGATCTGCTGCTTGAAATGTTTTATATATTTTTCGTGTCTATCTTCCATTATACACGGTTCCTCTAAGGGAGGGACAGTAATCTCTTTAATAAATTGAGACTGCTACAAAATGTTCCCTTTCCTTCCAATCAGGGGAACTTTAACCAGGATTGAAGCCCTGGAAATCATAAGCAAAAATGTCACTTCTCCATGTTTATGGCCAGAGGATCCTGTGTTTTCTGTCAGACCTCAAAGTTATTACCAAGGCCAGTAGGGCTAAGAATCTCTGCTTTGAGCCCATGTGCTCTCACCTGGCTCATATAGCACAAGGCATTGTACCACTGCGGCAATCTGTCTGCGGTCCCAGCAAAGACGCTAGGCCCACACCAGAGACACTTACTGCTCTGCACCTCAGCAGACGCTGCGGCCATCTCCTCCTCCTCGCTGATGTCACTATCGCCATCTTCAAGGTTTGTTTCCGTCTCATCCATAACACTGTCTTCTTCCTCTTCCTCCTCCTCATCTTCCTTGGAAACATTCTTTAATGTGGCGAGTAATCGATGGTAACCAGACACTTGTTCTGGTTCACTCTCTGCTTCACTTTCAGAACTTGAAGTATCTGAACTCTCTGACTGGAAGGAAAATAGGGATTTTAAAAACAAGAAGTATACTGTTCTCATGGCTACCCCATCACTATCATCAGGTCCACAGTGGAACAAGTTCAGATTTCTCTAAATTAAAATTAGCTTTTCTGTAAATGTGCAGTATCTATTCAACCAAACCTTGCACCAAATTTACTTAAAATAGCTAACCTAGCTATGCTTCTAAAAGTTCTTCCTCTTCTTTGAACTGCTAATCTTCTATATGGGAAGAAAGTCGACTACAGACATTGAGCTTTAGGTTATAAGGAAATCTCATCTGTCAGACGTTTGGCACTTTTAAAGGAGCAACAGAAAAAACTACAACGCAACGACAACAACAAAAAATGTAGCAATTTTTCTGAGTCTGTTTTAATGACTCTTTAAGACCTTTGATGATTTTCCACTCTATTTTATGCTGAGCACACAAGATATTTCCTCTTAGGATTTACCAAGAGCCCTCTGGTATGCCTCCTTAAGAAGTTCTAAAATGCTAACCTCTCAGGACAGTTTCAAATTCTGTACTGTATTAGTTATCACAATGGAATTTAAACACACACCCACATTCAGAACTAAGCAATATTATGAAAATAACAGCTTACACCTAAAATAAAAGAGCGGAAATGTACCCAAGCTTTATTACTATATATAATCTCAGAGAAGTAACAGCCCAGAATCAACTATCATAAGAAAGGTATAAAGCATTACCAATTGACAAGTCTGTGGTCTTGCTTCCTTTTTGGAAACCCTGAGAAGAAATAGGTAATGTTAAACTCTAACTACTGGTAGGTAACAATTAGGAAAAAGTCTAATGATACAACTTTAAATAAGCATGGCAGACTAGAAATACATTATGACATAAATGTGTGTGTTAGTCGCTGGGTCGTGCCCGACTCTTTCGACCCCCTGGACTGTAGCCCCCACCCCCGGCTCCTCCGTCCACGGGATTTCTGAGGCAAGAGTACTAGAGTGGGTTGCCATTTCCTACTCCAGGGGATCTTCCCGACCCAGGGATGGGACCAGGGTCTCCCGCATTGCCGGCGGATTCTTTACCGTCTGTGCCCCCAAGCAAATCTTTAAAGCCATAAAAAACAAAACGATCTCAGAAAAATCCCTGACCATACAAAAACCACCGCCCAACACCCTCCCCCACATAAGGTGTAGGGGTCTGGTAGAAAGCGACCGGTTCAACGAAAGGCAGGCAAACCGGAGAACACCACGTCTCGGGGGGGAAAGTCGCCAGGACGCCCAGCCCGGGGCAGCGGGGGACGCGGCAGGGGCACCCTGTCACTGCCCTCGGGCGCGCGAGGGCCCAACGCCGGGACACGCGGGCTCCCTCTGGGAGAGGGGGCCGGCAGCGTGGGTCCCGCCGCGCCCCTCCACACCTGTCATAGAAGGGGTGCTCTTCGCCGAAATCCCGAAGATGCTTCTTCTGCTTTTTAGTCAGGGAGCCGAGCAGCTGGCTCTGGCTCCGGCTCCCACGTTTGCCCATGGCGAGCACCGCAAGTCCGCCCACTTCCACTAGCTTCACGCCTGGAACTAGACCTGTCGACCCATTCACGCGCGACCGCCGGCAGCACTTTACGGCGGCAGGGGCGTGCCATAAAGCAGACCCGCTTTACGTCGCGCTTGTGCGACAGGCGTTGGAATTTCCTGTTTCCAGTTTCGCCCCCTAGCGGGAGTCTTTGGAAGCACGTGCTCGCACGCCCATCTCTGGGCTGTAAAAGGAAGACGGGCCAAAAGTAGGCAGGCGGGCCTCCGGCTTCCCCAGATAGGTCAATGGATGGATGTACTTTGTGCATCTGTTGTGGTTGTGAGAATCAGCCTGCGTGAACGTGTAGTAGCGGAGATTGGTGAATGCGGTGCTTTATATTAGACCGTAGTAAAAGTACTAACCAACATTTAAGGGGGCTGGCTTGTCTCGATTCATCCGTATAACGGTACACAAATGCGTCTTGTTAATAAGCCTGATATTGGAGATGAGAAAGCTGACGCTTTCAAAAGGTTACATGCACACTAACAAGAGAGGAGATGGGAGCCTAAGTCTGTCGGATGCGACCACAGGTTTCTCCCACCCAGACCTGTCACATGCCTGCGCCGTGTCTTCACACAGGGACAGTGGGGACACAAGGCTGAGATCCTTACCCTTACCCTACCCCTCATTTTCTGAAAGTATTGCAAGGGCCCCTGGTAACAAATCTGTTCCAATATTTTTTCATGTTCCAAGAGCAGAAACATCCAGAGAGGTAAACTGACTTTCCTAAATCACCCAGAGAGTCATAACAGAGAAAGCAGTAAAAATCAAGAGCCTCAAAACAGAACTGGGGCAAAGCAGGACGGAACATTTTTAAAGGTGAAGTAACTTTTCTCCACCTGGATCATGGGGTTGGTTACACCTTGTATACAATTACCAAAATTTATCAAACTGTGCATTTAAAATGGGTCCATTTAAATGTAAGTAAATAATAATCTCAATAAACAGAGGAAAAAACAACAAAAAAAGCAACTGGACTGAATACTCAAGAGACATGCAGCATATATGCAGAACTACTTAAAAACGGCTCGATAAACATTAAGACACTTTTTTCCTAATAGTAACTTAACATATCAATTATAAACCACAGCATTCACCTGAATATTTAAGGTAAAACAGGAGCCGTTAAAGACAGTGTTCACTCACTCTGTTATTACAGATGCTTCAATGGGAGCATTTGAACTTTGTACAGTTCCATGTCACACCTACAGAAGTCACACCAGAACTATTAGAATCCTATTCTTGTGATTCTAGAGGCCATCTACTACTTCTAATTAAATTCTGGGAGACTGAGGTGAGAGGGGTGGGGAGAGGAGGGAAAATCAAGAAAATATGCAAACAGCAGGTAGAGCCAGCAGCTGACCCAGCCAAGGAAACCATAAACAAACAGACATCTGTCTTCTGTCTAATTCCAAGATAAAAAGTACAGTCACTTATGTCAACAAAAGGCTGTTTGCAAAATGTCATCATATATTTTAAGGCAGTAACCACAGTATAACCTGGCTATAACAATAAAGTCATATTGTTTTTTCTCCTCCCACCCTATTCCAAGTGCCCCAGCTTCCCTCCCCAGAGGCAACCAGTTTCTTGGTGTTCTTCCAGAGATCTGCTATAAAAAGGTATACTCTTGAGCACTTCAGGTGACTCCTTACTCTTCTGGTTTCCATGTCATTGTAGTCCTATGGACAGGTCCAGACTGTTCCCAGGTCTAGAAAAAACTGTGTCCTGGCTCCACCCAAGCGGTCTCATCATTGGCTCAGTGAGGTTGCTTCTGAAAATATTTATTTATATTAGCCTTTGACAACATAAAAGGGGATGCTTTGTGCAGTTTTAACCCGAAAGTTCAGAATTGAAACACTTTTTTCCTGCCCCCAGTGAAAGTTCTCTTAGTAAAACCCACACAAAGAAGATGAATGTGCCAACTAGTGACGGCCCTGGGAGAAGTGTAATGAATGCAGGGTGTGTTCTTCCCCTTCGTCTTCCCCCTCCTCCAAGGTTTTCTTTTACCTTTCCCCTCAGGCAGTCAGTATTTTCAGTGGTGAAAACTGTGCAGGAAGTAATCTTTTATACTAGTTTGTAAAGACAGCTTGATGAATCAGTGTTACTGTTCCCTGGGTATTTTCCATTTGGAGGGACTCCCTGGGATATTGATCCTTGGGGGTAGACAAGAATGACTGCCCCTTAGGACAAGATTGTTAGAGTACTCAGAAAGGTGTTCATTTTTCTTTGTTTGAAAACCTTTTCTTTGGAAAATGTCAATTAAATGCTAAAGTAGTCAAGACAGTATAATACACTCCCAACAGGGCCATCTTGTTTTATACAATCACCCACCCTCTATCCCTGACCCCTCCAACCCCCACACAGTATTATTTTTAAAGCCAGTCTCTGACATTGTATTATTTCATCTGTAAACATGTATTTTTAAATACCTAAAAGATAAGGGTTATTTCTTTAACATAGCCGCAATGGCACTATTTTACCCCTCAAATTTTTAGTATCATCACATATTCAGTGTCCAAATTTCTCATAAATGTCTTTTTTTACACTATTAATGTATTCTGACGTTCTGTCTCTCATGCATACATTGTTGGATCTAGAATTCGGATCACACTACACTGTAGTTGGTATTTGATACTTCCATCAGGAGGCATACAACATCTGGTTGCCTTTCATTTTATGATAGTGTCAGTCGTAGGTAATCAGTGTTTAAATTTGTTAATTCATTAGAGATCGCATTCTAATTCTATCACAGGGGGTGATATTCTAATTCTATCATTTCTTATTCACTTCCTTGTTGCACTATTTCTCTGAAAATGGGCTTTTCCTTCTCCTAAATTTTGTTTACCCAACAGTGCTGTTTATATCCAGGACTTCTCCAATGAGCCAACTGTTCACATCAGATGACCAAAATACTGGAGCTTCAGCTTTAGCATCAGTCCTTCCAACGAATATTCAGAGTTGATTTTCTTTAAGATTGACTGGTTTGATTTCCTTGCTGCCCAAGGGACTCTTGGGAGTCTTCTCCAGCACCACAGTCTGAAGCCATCAATTCTTTGGCACTCTGCCTTCTTTACGGTCCCTGATGCTGGGAAAGATTGAGGGCAGAAGGAGAAGCGGGCATCAGAGGATGAGATGGCTGGACGGCATCACCGATGGAGTGGATGTGAACTTGGGCAAACTGTGGGAGATGGTGAGGGAGGGGAAAGCCTGGCGTGCTGCAGTCCGTGGGGTTGCAAAGAGTCGGATATGACTGGGCGACTGAACAGCAACTGTTTATATAGGAAAGGCAGGAAAAATGCTTGATTCCTCCCTTCTTTCACAAATTTTAAACGTAAGGAATCAATTCTGTAGATCTTCTAATGCTGACCAAGTTTTTTTTTAAATTTTTAATATCATTGTGAACTCATGGAATTACACAAATCAATGTGTTTAAATCCCTTGTAAAGATTGTGGTGTATATGGTTGACAAGAGCTTATTTGATATATAGTGATGTATTTGAAAAGGCAAACTATGTTCTAACGCAAACCACAAAAAGTAATCGACCTGAGATTCTCAGCAGAGCAGGAAGGGAAAGCTGTTGGGGAAGCATAATTTGAGGACACAGATCAGATACTGGGGATGTTTGGGGTTTGAAATGTACGTGATTATACATTAATAAGAAGGGCACATGAGTTCAAGATGTATGGACAGGGAGCCATACCAAAGGTGTGACTCTAATGATGAAAATTCTTACACCTCAGCTACTGATTTGGGAGGATTCTGGAGAAGGTGAGTGTGCCTCCTCCCAGAGACTTCAAACCAGACAGTTTTCTACATGCAAGACTGGCTTCTCCACCACGTGTCCACACACATGTCTATTTACAGCGGAAAGCAATCCAGCCTCTCCCTGACAGTGCCGGCAGGAATCAGCCTCTCGCTACCCTTCTAATGAAATGAGTTTGTTTATTCATTTAAAAAAGAGTAGTAAACACCATGGACCAGGTGTTGGGCTAGCAGCTGAGGCTGGAGAAAGAAGAGGGTGCATGTCAGCCTCTTCAAGGAGTTCTCAGCCTCAGCCAGGCATGGATAAGTATGCAGACCATTGCGACACACCGTGATAAATGCTGAACTGATAGAGGCTGAGTAGCACATTTCAGTGCACTCTACACAACTCGAAAATGTCAAATACTACTGTATATAGTGTCTACCCTTTCTATTCATTTGTTCCCATAACTACCCATTGTCAAACCCAGAGCCTGGCACAGAATGACCTTTAAATATGCTCCCTCAAGCTTATTGGAGGTTGGTTTATATTAGACCTAGCCTAAAACCAAAATGTTTAATCAGATTACATCCATTTATTGAGAACAAGGTAAAATGCTCCTCTATAGGGGATGGAGGGACTTCCCTCCATCAGCCTTAAAGAATCTGCCTGCCAATACAGAAGATGCAAGAGACATGGATTCAATTCCTGGGTCGAAAAGATCCCTTGAGTAGAAAACGGCAACCCACTCCAGTATTCCTGCCTTGAAAATTCCATGAACAGAGGAACCTGGAGGGCGATAGTCCAGGGGGTTGCAAAGAGTTGGACAGACTCAGTTCACATCCTTCGAGGGGATAAAAGCTTTATCCCTCCCTCTAGTGGAACGATGGTATAACTACACTTTTGTTTTTCACATTTTCTGGCAAAGGCTCAGCAGGCAAACATTCATTCATTAATCAAACATTTTCTAAGCAGTTACCATGTTCCTATTACAACATTAGGCATTGAGGATTTATAAAACTCAGACCTCGGACTTTCCCCTTGAAGACCTCATAGTCTAGTTGGGGGAGACAAAGCAGTTAGCAAATAATTGTCATGGACTAAAAGCTGGATGAGAAGGATGTACAAAGGGATCTGTTAGTCGCTCAGTGGTGTCCGACTCTTTGTGACCCCATGGACTGTAGCTCGCCAGGCTTCTCTGTGCATGGGATTCTGCAAGCAAGAGTACTGGAGTGGGTTGCCATGCCCTTGCGCAAAGGGTTTTAGGAACCCGGAAGACAAGGAAGCTCATCTTGCCGTGGAGGA